TATATCGCAATTGTCCCACAAGTCTGCATGTCTGTGTTCGGATATGTATATGCGGAACTGTAAGCGTATGTGCATACACTTATGCTCATAACTGTTGTTTGACTAAGGGCATTTTTTTTATTATTATTATTTTGTTTTTGTTTTGGTTGGTTGTCGTGGGGAAAAACTGGTTTTTCCATTAGATCTCAGCACTCAGCTCGGTCTATGTTGACGTTCTAATTTCGGCGCTACGCTAAGAGCCAGGGCATAGGCCAGCCAGGGGCCTGGGCGGGAGGAGCGGGGTGGCGTACAGCGCTAAAGTTGTCGCAGCTATAAAACAAATGTTACGAGAGTCACAAGCAACGCCTACATTTGCCCCAGACAACAACTAGAGACACAAGACTGGCAACAACAACAACAACGACAACAACTCGATATGTTGCATTTCAAATATGAAAGTTTTTTCGCCTTTCGAAGCGTAGATTGAGAGAGCGCTCTGGCAACTAGCTTTAAATATAAGCTACAGCTGTGCAGCTTCAGCTTTTATAATATTTACATCCATTGCCAACATCTCTTATTGCACAAATAACTCAAAGGCTAAGCAATCTCTATTTACATCTGAAAAATGTTATTCCTTTCGTTTTTGTAACTAAAGTGCATTTTTATTTAGGAGCAGACACATTATGCTTTCGCTTTAGCTCCGCTGGTTGATGGGACGATTTTATTTGACGTGGGGTGTATTTGTCGAAAGGTTGCGATACACGTTTCCAATGAATTTTCGACAACATCTCTCAAAATACTAGTAAAGCCGATCGGATGGCATACTAAAAATTTCCGTACAACCGTTATTCATACGTTTTTCCCATCTGCTAGTGGAATTTCCCAAAATCCCGTCTTAGCATGCAACCCTTAGGATAACTACGGTAAAGAATTCAACACGCTAGCTCTTATGGTTCTGGGATAACTTGGTCCCTCAGTCAGTCAATCGGTAACGTCAATCAATCAGCCATGCAGTGAATTACATAGGCGATCCGTAAATTAGTTTTGAATAAGTCAGTCGGTCAATCGGTTTGTTAGTTACATAAGTTATTCAATCAATTAGTAGCTCAATCAGTAACGTCAATCAATCAGCCAGATAGTTAACCAATCACAGAGTCAGTCAGGTAATCTTTCAGACAGTTACTTACTCTCTTAATCAGTCACACAGTCAGTTTGTCAATCAGCTAGTTCATCAATCAGTCACTCAATTAGTTAGTCAGTTAATCAGCAGTATCAGCAGTAAATCCGGCAGACGGTCAGTTAATCAGACATATAGTGAGTCAATCAGTAAGTTCCTCAGTCAGTCAATCAGTTAGCCAGTTACGCAGTCAATCATGAAGATAGTCAATCAAACATGCAAACACTCAGTCAGCAGCAGTAAATCCGTCAGACAGTCTGTTAATCAGATACTGTCAGCCGGTTAGTTTCTCAATCAGTCAATCAGTTAGCCAGTTACACAGTCAATCAGTTAATCAGTCAGGTCAAACAGTCAAATATATGTATAGATATATAAAAGCGTAGCTTATTTGATTTAATGTTCTATTTGCTTGATTCAAGCTTTGAATCTTTGCATTCATCAGTCGAATTGCTGTTTGCCTGCGACTTGCTCTCGCTGCAGCTGTTTTCTTTAAATATTAGCTAATGCTAATTCCAATAACACATCCATCCGCCTATCTGTGCTATATAAACACAAACTAGCAGTATGTATATTTTATAAATGTAGCTGCATGTATCTGTCTGTAAATGCAGGCAAAATCTCACACATTTCCACATTTCCCATAGACAATTCTCAATTGGGAGCTGTTGGGTTGCGGGGGGGTAAACAAATGCGCGGGCTTGCAATATCTCTGCGGGGAAGACATTCGGAAAAAAAAACAAAAAGCTCAGCTTCAAGGTTTTTACTGTCGTTGTTGTTGTTGTTGTTGTTGTTGTTTTTGATGGCAATTTGCTTTCATTTAATTCAATTTAACAGCATCGCCAGCGCGCAATTTGCCATTTTAAGCGTCATTTTGCGGGCTAAAAGGGTTGCCACCCTTGGCTTCAGCGTTGCCACCCGGTTGTGGTGGGCAGGGGGTTGGCCTGCTTGACTGGCAGCTGCTGCCAGCTTTTGGGCCAGTTTTGTCGTGCTTCATTTTGCAGCTTGCACTAAATTGTGAGCCAAGAGAGAGTAAGAGTGGGCTGGGGTGGGTTGGGGTTGGGCAGGTTAAGCGGTACCAGGCTGCTCGCTCAAGTGTCATTCAACCGCGAGGACACGCAAACAGCTAACAACAACAGCAACAGCAACAACAACAGCGGCAGCAGACGCCAGTTTTAATGATTATTTGCATGTTGCACGTACAAAAGGCAACTGTAACTGCAACATGCATATAAATAATAAATAATGTGCCCCGCCCCGACTGGCAACTACCCTGGCCAGGCTTTCGACCAAGCACCTAATGCTCTGCGTCCAGCTGCGGGCCGTGTGTGTCCACTTCTGATTGAACTTGATTGACAAGTTGGGCTACCTACAGTTGCTGTTCTCATTGTTGTTGTTGTCGTTCCTGATGTCTCAAGTGGCACATCGAAGCACCGAGCTTCGATCGCTGACTCATGCAGCCAGCCAAAGTTGGCGACCGACTGTGTTGGTGTCCAATAACCTGGCCTGAAATTCGAGCAGATGCCTTTTGCCCTGCCCCCCCCAACTCCCCAAAGAAACACACACATTCAGGCACCCACGCATGCTTTGGTAGATATTATATACACCCTGTGGCGTAAGCATTGTGTTACATGTGATATATGCATATGGTTGGTTAGGCAGCTAGGGAGTCGGGATTATAATTAAGAATTGTTGATTATAAAGTGTTCTGTTATAGAAAAGTATTCATATTACACACAAACGCTCTGCTAGTTGGCATAACAGCACTTTTATCCAATTACAGGGTATACAACAAGACGAACTGTTCGCACAATATATATGTACATGCATCTTAATTAAAACGGAGCTCGTTTTAATTGCATAACAAATTACGTTTTACAATTACAGGGTACATTAAGCTACTAGTAGCTTAGTTTTTTTCCAGGGTAGAGCACTCTTCATCTCTGCATTCTCTGTGAAAACAAACCCTTATATAACATTCACTTTCTCGCCATTAACAGGGCATAGCGCTAGTCGAACTTATCAAACGAGCGCCTATTATATAAACGTTATAATTGAGAAATTTCCACGTTACTTTTCTCATTGCAATTTTCTGCACTAATTAAATTGGATTGGATAATTGAATCACAACCGCAATTACAGGATATGTCAATAGTTGTGCGAGTTGAGCATAAAAATAAAAATAAAAATAAAAAACAAGAAGAAGAGAAAATAAAAAAAAAAGCTTTCATATTTTTTTAATGAGTGCCAATGAAATTTCCGTTAAGCCAACCGTTTTTCTGTACCGTTACCTTCCGCTGGGCCAGCTTAAAAGTTACCCTGGCAACTCTGGTCCAAAACTTTTGCCAGCTCCTTGCTCTACCCTTGTTCTTGTTCTCCTTTATGTTGTTGTTGTTGTTGCTGTTGCTGTTGCTTTTGTTGTCGTGTCGTGGCGCAGTGTTGCCAATTCAATTAAATTTTGCACCCAAAATGGGCTCCAGCGACAAAAAATTAACTTTCCAGACGTATTTTTACACATTTTCGTTTCGTTTTTCGGTTTCGTCCTTATTTTTCATTTTTTCCATTTATATTTTCTTTTTTATTTTTGGCAGCGCAGCCAACTAACAGCAACAGCAACAACAAAAACAACATCCAGCTCAAACAGCAGAAAACGAGCTGCAAGTTATTCAATTAAAAGTTCACTCAATACCCAGAAACAAATTCGTCTCCGCTCGCTTCCAGCTCTTCCCCTTTTCCATCCTCGTTTTTGTTAGCATCCTTCGAGCTGCTGCCCGGTCTAATGGACGCTTCGCTTGGTCCAGTTGCCAGCCGGAGTCAATATTCTTTTAAAGAACGTAAACGTGAACGTGACTTCTGTACGGATATAACAGCAGACAGTTCTGCAGTACTTAAGGAAATATGACCACACTGTCAGCTCTGCTGATGTTTATTAATCGTTTTGCCAGTTATCGATTACATTTGTTTTTTTTTTTTTCATTTTTGAGGGGGCACAAAAGCAATTTTTCGCAGGAGCGTGACTTGTTTGGTTTAGGGTGGACAGTGTAAGGTTGGCTGAGTTTTGACATGAAATATGAGCACACATTTCCATTTAATTACGCACAATTTAATGCGCAGTTATCGATAAATACTGAAGCGTGCCAGCGTTAACTGTTGTTTATACAGGAAAAGTGGAAGAAATATGACAACGCTTTGAGTTTACACATCGATAACAGATAACACTCACAAGCGATTAACATCATCAACTTACTTTTATCAGTAAATTTGCATTATCGATGACACAAAATACCTTTAAATTGTTAATCGATTTTCATTTATCGATAACATAAATATACTTGCAATTATTGATTGCTTTTCATTTACCAATATTAAGGTTAAGGGATTTATTATATATATATCGATAATGTCACTCAAATTTGGACTACCCTTTTTCGCAGTTTAAACTACGATTATAGATTATAGACTTGCATTTATCTATAGCAAAAATTAATCGATTTGTATTTACCTGTAACATTTATTGTAATGCTATTATTAATCGATAACATTTATCGATGACAACATTTAATCGTATGGCATTTATTGAAACAAATGTAAACACAAATATTAATTAACTTGCATTAATTGATTTTCACAAACCCATAACATCAATTTACATTACAGTATTAATCGATTTGCACTTATCGATAACAACATTTGTCGATAACACCAAAAGGAGTTTTTACTCATATATAAACCACTTTTTCCTCTTTTTAGTTTAGTCAACTTTTTATTAACTTGCAATTAGCGATAACATTGAAAAGTGTCCACCCAAAATTTTAACCATATTGCTTCTACTCCCCTCTCTTTACAGAGCCTGGGCATCTTGGCCTCAATACCCGCCGGACTGCTGATACTCTCGCTGCTCGGCCTGCTCCTGTATCTGTTGACGCGCTGCTGCGATCGCAAGCAGCGCAAGCCGAGCACCCAGCGCTGCCAGAGCTGTTCGCTGGTCATCATAACGCTGATGACCTGTGCGGCCATTGGACTAGGTAAGTGCCAGGGTGCATTGAACCCATATACTATAAGCCCACGCCAAAAATTCCCGCCTGGCCACGCCCAAAGCTCGGGAAATGCACGTACCGGTCGCGTGTTTAACTTGGCAATTAGCCAAAAGTCGATGAGGACGACCGCCTGCATTTGGTTCATTACGTGCGCGGCTTGGGCTTTGGCACGTATCTGGATTTATGGGCGAGCGATCGCCGCCAGAGTCGCGTCACGTGTCAGGCATGAGCGGAATATGAGTGGAACTAGCCACAGCAAAATCAACCCAACTGAGCCGACAGCACAGAGTCGAGTCGGCCACTTAATTTGTACATTTCGGACTAAAGTATGTCAAAGTGGCAAAGGTAATGCCCCAAGTCAAATCGAGCTGTGCCCCATCAACAACTGCGATGTGCGACTGCGGCTGACGCTGCGAGTTGCATCATTATAATCCAGCCTACGCATACAATACAAATAATAATAATAATTTAATTAGCGGGCTTAATTGACGCAAAAATGTGTCCACGGGCGAATGCGGTCACTCGCTGTAGCTCGAGGGGTGAGAGAGGAAAAGCTTGCAATACATCAAAATGTCTCTCTTTGCTCGCACTGCTTCCAATTCGCCCTCTCTTGTCAAGTGGAGCCTGTTGTTATTCATTTGACTGAAACAAATCAAAGATTCTCTTCTAGAATCTTCAGAACTCTACAGAGGTGTTTACACATCGATCTGTGCACACGTATACATGCATATATTGAAAGATTGTCTCTTTTCTCTTTTTGCAACACTGAAAATGTTGCTAAACTTGCCTTAAGTCTTGTTGAGGGCATCCCAATTTCTGTACAGATCAAAAAGTAAATGACGGGCCAAGCTTACGCCTCTTTTGAGTTGCTTCCAATTACGCTGCCATTTTACTCCCCCATTTGGATACCCTATGCCAAGCACTTGTTAAAGTCGTATAGTGGCGCTCTGCTAACTGTTCCCCTCCTTGCTATTTCAGGTTTATATGGCAACGATGATTTCCACAATGGTCTGCTGCAGGCTTTCAGCTCCGGCAAGAAGGTGGAGAGCCTTGTGCTCAATCTTAAACAAGAGGTAAGTAATGCCTAAAAAGTTTCAGAACAAAGTAAAAGTTTCTCAGGAAACATAATTGAAAATCACTTATATATAGAGCATACTTAATGAGTTTGCGAATTGTTGAAAACTATTCACTTGGCTTGTTGCCTGCAGAGCCTGAACGTAATGGGAAACATGAATTTAAGCTACTGCCGACATAATTGTTAACATAAAGTTTGAATATTTAAAGTTTGCCTGAATATACAATTAACTGGAAAGGGGTCTCGCATTTATTCAAATGTATTCCGAGCACCTTTTAGATGTAAGTTTCTCGAGCGACATTCGACTGCAAAAACAATATCGATAGGTTTATGTGATATGCTCAAGCTCTTTGTTGAGTTCATTTTAGAATTACAATATGTGCTTAATTCAGTGTGAATTTAATTTGTTTCAATTTAAGTTGAAGTATATTTTAAATTCATATATTGAAAGCCAAGACTCCGACTGTTAAAAATAAGCTATCAAACGATTGTGGCTTATCGATTGATCGCGAATGATGAGGCGTGCAGCCCTGGCGCTTTTCCCACAACCATGTACTTATGTGAGCCTTGCACTCGAATAGATCAGAAATTAAATGTGTGTTATGGATCATTTATTAACTGTCAAAATTTTTCTATTTTTATAAATGACTGACTTATTAGATGGATTAGCAATAAGATTAACTAATTTTGCAGCCCTGGCAATTTGCCCGCATACAACCCTGCGAATAGAGACGAAACTAAAACGGTTTTATGGATAAACTCTTTATTGTCTAATTAATTTTAGGATTATTTTGTTCTATATAAACACTTCCATTATGAGAGTGAAAAGGTTATGGAATATTTCAAACAAGCCGCCTACGCATCCTTACGAACGTGATCCATCAAAACGCGTGTAATTTCCGTGCGAATATTGGGCTTTTTGTCATTGGACATTGCTCTGATGTGTGCTACGATGGGCAGTATTGGCGGGGACTTGCCCCAATTGGATTGATTCGATCGATTGCGACCCATCGACAAGTTCGATCCAATGTTCTGTGTGCCCACACCATTTGGATATCGGTTATTATCGATAATTGTAAAGTCGCCGATATTTGGCGGGAAGGGCTCCCGTGAACATGGCGCCAGCTTGCTGGGATCGACAACGTTGCGCAGAATTTCGAGTGCCTGGAAATAGGACCAGGTCGATCTCTCGGCACGTTTTTGTTGGATTTTGCGTATCTCATCGCGATAAACGTTGCGCAGCCCCCAGAAACGTGGCTTGCACTCGGGCACTATGCAATTTAATCCATATCCCATGATTTGCTCTGGCTCTTTCATATTCCAATTACCCACCATTTGTACTGCCCTCGATACCTCTAGCCAATGCATGTGGTGCACGGCCCTGGCCTTTGTCCAAAGAGCGCGCCGTTTCTCTATCTCAAATATCAGGCGAATATATTCAATGTCCATTTCACACGCTTGGCCAAAAAAAACTTTCGATACGTTTTGTGTTTTATATTTTTAATAACAAAAAAAATTGTATATCCTCTGACAACGAAATGCACTTGCCCAGGGCTTCCAAAAATGTTAAATGAAAATAAAATTCCAGGTGTGTAGCTCTACAAGCTCTATGTTTGAATGAATTAACGAAGTAAACGCGATTCTCGAGTTTTGACAGACAAAGGCAAGGCACGCTTGGGTTATCATAGGCTATAGTTGAAAATAAGAATTAGACTTCAAATAAACTCGATTGGTCTACGTTATCTCTAGAATTTTGATTCGGTTTGGATATAACCTTCAACCTTTTGATTTGCACTTAATGTACTCGTTCTTACTTTCATTTTTTTGCAAGCTGGGAAGTCTATGTAGATAAGTCTGGCAGCTTAAATTAAATTCACTTCACAAGGCGGAACATGAGTGAAAACTATTAGTTTGCAATCTTAGGTCTGTTTCTATATTTAGAAGTAGTTTATACTGTAAGGCATCTAATGCCAGGGCTTTCGCGTGTTCTTCATTTTCAAAATAAGGTCTAAATATTGCCGTTCAAGAGTTGCCATCTCTTAAAAATACTTAAAGTGTGGCAATACATTACAAATTCGAGAAACGGAAGGAACATGCAATTACTTTACTGCGCTTATGTAGGTGTCTATTTAAAATGCGTTTGCCTAATGCTGCTGCACTTACACGAGCACAAAGAGAGCTGCCCAAAGCTGCAACTTTTAGAAAATTGCCAAAGGGTGGCAACACTTTATCTGCAATAAGCAGCTTACGGATAAATGTGTTCGAAAAGTTAAAAATACTTGTAAATTGCAAAAGCAATTTCAAATGTTGCCCGTTGAGTGAAGGTTTAAAACAGACTACACGACGAATTAATTAAGAGAAGACATCTAGCAGTAAGACCCTTTCTGAGTATTTATTCCAAGTTTCAAGAATTTAAAAGCAATAAGAAAAAGAATTTGATTCATAAGCATAGGCGGCCAAATGGACATGGTGTTAATTCCATAAACTCTTTAATTGCTGAAAGAGTTTAAACTGTTTTCGGCGTTGCCAGACATTACGGTGCTGCCAGACTTAACGCAATACGCAGCTAAGTTGGCTGCGCCTCATCACATTAAATCAGATTAAAATTTAATTTCATTTGCTAAGTATGGGCGCCAAAGCAGATATCGATAAACATATTTCATTCAATTAATGCACTTAACTAATTTTTTTAATGGGTTGATGTACGGCAGTGGGGGGGGGGGGTGCTTGAAATATATTCCGTTACACAGCGTATACCCATTTCCAACACTGATTTCTTTGCCCAAGTCGCCGCAACTGTAACTTCCCACACACACACACACACACAGAGACATATCTCACATCTCTAGACAGCGGCAGGATAAGCGGAGCTGCGGGGTAGACACGTTGGCTTTTGCTATTCATAAACTTTGTCAGCTTACAGACACAACCACACACATGTGTGTATATACATAGATATATATAGTCCATATATGTATGCATTCATGTATGTATGTATGTATTTGTATATATTTAGATATGTAGACATTCACATTTATATGTTTATACGTACATAAAAGAAGCCGATAAGGCAAAAGGTTAAGAGAGCGAGTCGAGCAAAAAAGTGTGGGTGCGAGGGGGGGGGGGGGGGGGGGGGAGTATTGTGGTGCTTCGGCGCAGCATGGAGCGGCATGAGACGGGAAGGGGGGCGAGCGGCAGATGTGAGGTGCGGACAAGTTGAGGCTGCGGCCCAAACAGATGGCTGGCATTGCTTGGCCCTTGAGTAAAACGCTATTAATTATCTAGGCACAGGACTAAACACTTCCAAACTCACACACACACACACACACACACACACACTCGTTTTGGGTGCCTGCCAGACAGTGGGCGGGGCTCTGTGCGTGCGTCTGCTGTCGCTGCTTTTAGGCAAGCTCTCGACCCTACGCCCTGTCACGCTTTCCATGTCTGCCGCCCCCTCTGCACCGCTGCCCCCTGCTGCCCTGCTGTCCTTCTGCATCCTGCAGTCCCCTTCGTTTTTGTGCTTTCTCTTTGCTTTCGCTGTGTACTTTAATCCTTGCACAAGTGCGGAAGCAAAAGCATTATGGGTTAAAAAAATAAAAAAAAAAGGGGGGAAAAAAACTACTATATTTATGTGCAACGTTTTCGTCCTTTGTTCCAGCGGGCCTGTCTCCCCTCTATCAGTAGCGTCTGCCTGTGTGTGTGTGTGTGTGTGCACGACGCTTTCCCTTTGCCCACTTTTGGTCATTAACTTTTGAACTGCTCTCACCTGCCGTTGCCGTGAGTCAGCGGCTCGGCTCAGAGCTTAAGTAATGGGACAACAAAGAGCCAAACCCCCCAGACCCAAGCCCAGACTTGAACTGGATTCCAGCCCGTGCTGTCCAACTATTATGCGCACTTTCAATGGCTTTTCGGGGGTAGTTGTCGCCGGATATCGCTTTTATAATCACCTGCGACAACATCCTGTCAGCGAGAACAACTTTAATCTAGCCAAATTACTTCTACTTGTTGAGGGTTCGTGTTGGACTAGCCCGGAAGAGGGCTAGCCGGATTGTTTCGCCCAGGGCATATATCCTGCGCACTTTCAATTGGGTCAGTTCTCTTGCAATATAAAGCTCATTTAAAGTTCTTATTGAGAAGGATTCATTCTGATTGATTGATTGACTTACTGACTGACTGACTGACTGATAGGGCTTCAAAATTATATGAGCTGAAAAGTTGAATTTCCGGCCAAGGCGGAGATGCGGCTCAATTCACACGTAAATATGGAAAATTGAAGGAAACTTTTGTGTCCAGCATCCGATTGGCCTCAAAATCGATTTCAAAGATTTACGTAAATATTTATTTAAAAAGTCTTTTCACACCTTTCGCAAAACACATCCCCCTTAAGTGAAAAAGACTGGTCAAGGGTTTTAAGCGCGAAAAGGAAAGGGCGTAAAACTGCAAGTTGCAAATTTCATTTGAAATGTGAAATGTGATTGCAACAAATCCATTCCGCTGAGTGAAATTGTGGTTTGTGGCTTGAATTGTGATCGGGCTTGGGCAAAGCCGCGTATTCCCCTTGATTCAACCAAGCCGGTTAAAGCTTGCCGGATTTGAACGAGCTTGCAGTCTCGTGCCAAGAAATAAATTCTATAAACTGTGCAATTATTATTGGAATTTTTTATTTTCAACATCACATCTAATCTACAGCAACTTGTTTTTGATTTTCTCTTGTTGATAGACTGAAACCATCAAGCGCGATCTGGAAACGAAAATGGCTTCGCACAACGTTGTGAATCAGGTGGAGAGACAGCAATACAATCAAACCGCTGTCATGCTGCTCATCGAGACGTCCCGTCTGGTGCGGGAGAATACCTCACGTGCGGTCACCTCGCTGGACAACATGGTGCTCTACTTCATGAAGACCAAGGGCAGCGAGAATGAGACCTCGCTGATGGGCATTCTGCATGTAGGTCTTTCACGACATTTAATTGAAAAGCCCTATCCATATAGCTTCTCTCTCTCTCTCTCTCTCTCTCACTCTGCTAGCTGGGCGATCTATACGAATCTATACGCTGGCCGGCCACATTGGCCTTCCTCACCCTGCTTCTATTCCTGTGCACCGTGCTGGTCATCGGCGTTGCCCGTCGTTCGCGCTGCACTTTGATTTTCTTCAGCGTTTCGGGTTTGTTCTGCATCATCATCTGCTGGCTGTTGGCTGGCATCTATTTGGCCTCCAGCGTGGCAGCCGGCGACTTTTGTATGCGACCGCATGAGTATATGTGCCGCCAGGTAGGCATGGTAAGTACCCCACGCATACACACACACACACACACACACACACACACACGCACCTAATGTCCTCTCTTTCTATTTGTGTTTACAGCGCAGTCCTTATGTCTATTTCCTCAACTGTGGCACGTTGCGCAATCGCTTTATACTGCGCCTCAACGAGTCACGGGATTTGGTGGAACGTGCCCGTGAGAGTGTTGAAATGATGCAACGGTAAATACAACATGGCTGGAAATTGTTTTAAAGGCGTTTATTTACTTTACGATCGCTTTCAAAGCTCAATCGAAACCGCCAACCAAGGTGGAAGATAAGGGAGAAACTTAGGAATTTATCCGTTCGGCTTCGAACGTATTTTTCAAGCTCTAACTTACTGAAATTAAACGCAACCATATTTCACCCAGCGCGAAATATTAACCTTTACATTAATATAAACCTATTTTGTATCTTTGGCACAGCATGAGCCAGGACACGTATCCACGCATTGACATACAGCGCACGCTTAACGCCATGGACAACGATCTGGAGGAGACGAAACGCAATCTGACCAATCTCTCGGCCACGCTGGACAGACGCGCCATCGACCGCCACTATGCGGAGGCGTTGCAGGGCCTCTGCGGCGGCGGCCTGCTCGGTCTCAGTCTGATGATGGTCGCCGGTCTGTTGACCTCGTTTCTGCTCACGATACTCGTCTATGCGGACTCGCATGCCTGGATTTATCTGAGCAAGCGGTAAATGTGCTGGCCATTGGCAAATTGAGCCATATTTAAGATCTTATTTATTCTATATATCGCAGGCCCACAATGGATGGCGACAAGTCGGAGACGGCGCCGCTGTTTTCGGCCTCGAATGCGCCGAGCGCCAGCATTTCGCCAACGGCGCCCATGAGCACCGGCACCATCAATCGGACGCTGCTGCATCATCAGCAGGCGCATGGTGGTCCCATTGGTGGCAGCGTTGCCGGCGGCGCTGGAGCCGGGCACACGGGCACCCTGCCCAGCAGCAACAGCTTGACTGGCGGCAATGGCGCCGGCCCCTACAGGAATGGCACAGCGGGCCTGCGACAAGGGTTGGCATCACCATCATCACAATCAAGCAACAATACATCATCTACTACAACTTACCACCACCACCACAACAACCACAACAACAACCACCACTACAACCACAACAATACACAGCATAGAACTAACTCAACGGCGGCAGCGGCGGCGGCGTCGGCGGCGGCCTCATCGCTGTCCAGCCGCTCCAATGGCGGCCGCCGTTCGCCGTCGCCGCCGCCCGGCTATGATTTGGTGCATGGCACAAGGCATGAAGTTTAATTTGATTTTTATTTCGTTTCGTGTACTTCTTAGTTCTTTTGTCTTAGTTTTAGTCGTAGCAGTGCCTTAAAAGACAGTCGATCGCACAGTTTCTTAACATCTATCATATACTATATATATATATACATATTTCTATATATATATATATATATATATTTTTTTTTTTTATTTTACTTTTTATTTGTCCTGTGTACATTATGTTTGTTTCATCCAGTTGTCTTTGGTTTATTTTCATTTCATTATTATTTTCGATTTTCAAATTTTTCATTTATTTCCCGTTGTTGTTGTTGTGTGCCCTCTGCCCTCTGCTCTTGGCCACGCCCAACTGCATGACTCACATGTATTTCATACGTATTTCGTAGTAGCTCAAATCACAGTCGATTTAACCAAAATGTACATATGCCTAATCTCTATTGTACATGGACAACACGCATAACGCACACACGACATATGCACCGGCATTAGGGGTAGTCATGCAACAGGGTGGCACATTACTTAACTATTCTATATAACACCATTTGCGATTGATTTGGCTTTATAATTTGATCGGTTCAGCTGTAATAGCCATGCATATCTAACACCATTTGGTTTTCCTGCCATGAGTACAGTAGAACTTGCCTATAAACAATAGGCTATGAAAGAATATATAATATATATTATTATTAAATATATATGCATTAAGATTCACAAATTAATACACATATATATTTAGTCTGTTTTGGTTTCTTTTTGATTTCGATTATTTTGTCATCCTAATAATAATTTGTATTTTATCAATGAGAGGAATTTGACCTTGAGCCCAATTTGTTTAACCATTAAATATACATAGGAAAGTTTCTAAATTTTGAAACAAATTTAAAAAAATAAGTATTTATGGAATGTAGCTCATTTTCCATTGCTGCAAACATAAATATATATTATTTACTTTTTGGGCTCAAACATTTTCTAAAATAAGTTATTTATATGAAAATTGAAGAAATTTGATTGTCTCAGTTGTTATTCAAGTAAACTAAATGAAAACAAGGTAAAAATAATGAACTATCATTAGGTTTCTTAGTAAAATGAAAAGCTATGCATACTATTTAGTCTCTTGATAAGGTTGGAAATAGTTACAGATTTGCATTTAGTAGTTGGTTTTTCTGATCTGCTTTCAACAACTTGTAGCAGTTACTTCCATTAGTTGCCAATAGAAATGTAAGAGCTGATCAATTCGTAATGAAAATATTTTACATAAAATATAAGCAGGTTTTTTTTTTAGATATATATATATTTATATAACTAACGCATTAAGTATTAGGTTTCTAAGTTAATAAAGATCGAAAAAAAAAAATGTCTTTATATGTCGACATTATGTGCAAAGAAATAGAAACATGTACCATAGCTCCATAGAGGGAGTAGCTTTAATTAAAGGCTAGATTCAAGTGCAACTCATTTTGATTGTAGAAATATAGCTAAGAAGGAGGTAGAAAATATCTTATCTTAGAACATAAATGCTAGAGAATGAAGTGAGAATAATTAAATGGGATAAAGTTAATAGAAAGTTGATATTTTTAGTATTTTTTTTGTTTGTTTTGTTTCTATATACGTTAGCTCATTGTAAATATATATATATTATCAATATTGTATGTAAAGCTAACCAACATAAAGAAATATCATCGCCTGACTACCCCTAATGTTGCTGCGACTAGTTAACGTTTTAGCCTACACAACCTAGCAACTGTTGCAATTGGCCTGCCATATTAACAACATATTACTGACATATATATGTTTACCGTTATGTGTTCACAGATCGGGCCACCATACGCTGGGTCGCCTGCCATCGCACCACCAACAGTCGGCGTCGTATCTGCCCGGGCCAAACAATGGCAAATACGCGACGCTCAGCAAGCAGTGTAAGACGCTCGAATCGAACGACTTCTACTGAGATTCGCTTGCCTGCAGCACGTATGCAGGCAATAGCAACAACACGCAGCACAGCAGCAACATCAATCAGCAGCAGCAGCAACAGCAGCAGCAACAGCAGCAGCTGCAGCAGCAACAACAACAACACCACCACAGCAGCAGCAGCAGCAACACACTGAAGAACATATTCGCATCGGCAACGCTGCCCCGCTCCACGGGCAGCTCCATACGCTCCGTGCTGTCCGCCCAGACGGCCAATGCCATTTGCAAGTCGACGGGCAACGGCCTGGACGCGGCCGATGTGCTGATCGACGATCGTGATCCGCGCGATGTCACCAACAACAGCTTCAATCGCTTCGATCCCAAGTACATTAGCATCGGGCCCAAGGCGGTGCGCGGCAACAACAATTTGAATATTGTTGCGGCCGCCACGGCCAATAAGTGCGCCACGCTGCGGCATGTGGGTCGCTATGGTGGCTCCCTGAAGGGCGCCTCGCCGTCGCCCAACTTGCGCAGCGCCAAAACGCCATCCATAGCGACGGTGTCCAAGGACTACTGCCAGCAGGCGGAGTGCATGCCGCAGGTCTATGCCGCTGGCTCGACGGACATGCTGGTGCCTAGCACGACGGCGCAGGTGGTGCAGCAGCAGCAGCCACCGCCGCCACCATCGCAACAGCAGCAGCAACAGCAGCTGCAAATGCAGTTGGTGGTGCAGCAGGTGGCGCCACCGCCGCCGCCGCCACAGCAGCAGCAGCAGCAGCTGTTGCAGCCACAGCCCGCACCACCGCCGCCACCCAAGCCAAAGATAGTCAACACCTTTACGGAAATACCAGGCACCACGGGCGTGGGCAGCTCCTATGCCAAGGAGCAGCAGCAGCTGCTGGCGCTGCAGCAGCAACAGCAGCAGCAGCTGCTCGCCTTGCAACAGCTGCAACAACAACAGCAACAGCAGCAACAGCAGCAACAACAACAGCAGCAGCATCATCATCATCCACCGACCACACACATTCTGCCCCCTTCGGCCGTGTACAGCATTGAGAGCAGCAGCGTCTATCCGGCGGCGGCAGCAGCAGCAGCAGCGCAGCAGGCAGCACCAACGGCGGCGCCACGCGTGCAGCGCTCCCTAAACCCAGCCTCGATAGTCAATCAGCCGCTGCCAGAGATACCCGTGCAGTCGCCCACCGGCAACAGCGGCACGCCTGGCACCCAGTCGAAGATCTCATCTCAACAGCCGCTGTGCGCCGCCACCTTGGGCCAGTATCGCTCGCTGCAGCGGCCACAGGCAGCGGCACAGCAGAAGCTGCAGCTTGTCGCGCAGCAACAGCAACAGCAGCAGCAGCAGCCGCCTTCTCTGCCGCCCAAGAATCGGCACAAGAACTCGCGGGATGTGAACAATGCGAATCATATGCAAACGTTGCCGCCCAAATCTGTGAGCCTGCGCCAGCAGCAAACCGCCAGCTTTGGCTATGAGCGCGAGCGCGACAGAGAGCGCGACAGAGAGCGTGAGCGGGAGCGTGAGCGTGAAAGAGATCGCGAACGGGAGCGACCACGTCGCGCCGAAACGCTTGACAATGCGCGCAGCTACGCCGAGCAGCAGCAATATGGAGCCCAGCCCCTGCTCAGCAGCATGAAGAAGCAGCACTCCTACGACAGCAGTACCTACCACCACCAGCAGCAGCACCACCAGCAGCAGCAGCAGCAGCAGGCGGCCTACTACCAACAACGGCAGCACAACAACAACTATCATGGCACAGTTTCGAGCAGCGCCAGCAGCAAGCATCATCAGCAACAGTTGCTGGTGGAACAGCAACAGGCGCTCTTCTATCGCTCGCTGAAGCGCAGCAGTGGCGCTGGCGGCGGTGTAGGTGGCGGGGGCGTGGCAGCTGGCATTGTGACAGCGTCTGGTTATGCCAACAGCGATTTGTATTCTGTGACGGAATTGTAGGAGTGCGCCTGCTGCGGCGGCGGCGTTGATGTGCGGCGTGCCACGAACTGTTCGACGGGCACGAGCGCAACATCAACGGCGCTGCACGCAGCGGCGGCGGCAGCCTCAGCCAGCACACAGACACAAACTCAGACGCAAACGCAGCTCAGCCAGGCGCCCATACCGCTACCGCCCAAAAAGCATCGCACACAGCAGCAGCAACAGCAACAGCAGCAGCAGCAGCTGCCCTGCAATGCGAATCTGTGCGATGAACACGAGTACGACGAGTATTGCCCGCAGCAATATGAGTCACAGCAGCAGCAGCAGCAGCCGCAGCAGCAAAGCTCACGACATGGCAAGCAGCAGCGCGCGGCCACCTTTGACCTGGCGGATGCACGTGACTACGAGCTGAAGCGTTTGGGCAATCGACGCTCCCAGCAGCAGGCGGCCAGCAGCAAGCGAAATGGCGCAACATCAGCCAGCGATCAGCAACAGCAGCAGCAGCAGGGACAGGGGCATCATCATCATCGCACACACGACCGGGAACGTTCACGCAGCGATCATCGCATTGCCAGCTATGCCTGCGAGGATGCAGCAGCGGCGGCTCTGTGCAGCGCCGGCTCCATGAGCCTGCTGCCAGCCAATGGCAGCGCACAGCAGCAACAGCAGCAGCAGTCGCATCGCAGCCATCATCAGCAGCAGCAGCAACAGCAGCAACAACAGCAGCAGCAGCAGCAGCGACGGGAGAAAACATTCAAAGTATGATTTTTAGAGACGTCATAAAAATTGCCCAGCCCGCGACAAGTTGGCTACAAACACGACGACGACGGCGGCGGTATTGATGTTGCTGCTGTTGCAGCTAAGCGCAGGCGACGCACGCGCTGAACAGCAGCAACAACAGCAACAACAACAGCAGCAACGACGACGACGACGACGACATTGGAGCCAGCCAGCGTTGCGGATTTTTCTAATAATAAGAAAATTGCACACACACACACACACACACACATGCGAAATGAAATCAAATTATATATGAGTCCAGAATGCACCTTATAACTTACGATCCGCCCCCCGCACTAAACCCTGCCAACCACGCCCCTGAAATGTGTTAACGAAAATATTTGTAGCAATTTGTATTGCCGATATTGGCGAAAAGAGTTCAATGAAAATCGATGCGAAAATTTGTTCAATTAAGTGAAAAGTGAAGGCAAGTTGTGCAGCACGTGCAACTTGCAACTAGACAAGCCGTGCCTCATGCAAATGCACACACACAGCACACGCACAACACACAAACAACACACACACACAACACACGCGCACATATACTTGTACATGCCGCGCTCCTGCCCTGCACACAAAATGCGCCGCTCTATTCGGTTCTCATTCTCATATGTGTTACAGTTGCCAACTGCAGCAGTTGCAGCTGCAGCTGCTGCCCCATTTATCAATTGAAACATCAAATCAAACTTTTGCTCCGTGTTGTTGCCTATTGTTATATATAATTAACGAAAAATCCTTTCTTTTTTTTTTTTTTAAATATATTTATATATATTCATCTACATATATATTAACGATAATTAATCATAAATGTGTTTATATTTAAGTTTAGTGCAGCCTTGTTAAGTCCATCTAAGCTATAATTATTTATTTATGCAACTAAGCAAAGCCAACCCCCCCCCCCCCCCCCCCCCCCGACACTCCTCTCCACACCCTTATCGACACACACACACACATATCCCTCAAACCCAAACAAATACCTGATTTGCATTTAAAATAATTTTTATGCATCCCTTTTTGTTTATTTGAAAACAAATTTCTTTTCAATTTGTTTATTATTTAAAAATCCGTTGCGAAAGCGCAAACAACAACAAGCGAAAAGTTCGTAATTTTTGTGACGTCAGAAATCTAATGAGAAAAGTGAACAAAAGCAAAACAAAGCACAAAAACAAAACAACAACAAAAACAAAACAAAACAACAACTGCAATTGTAATTCCATTTTTAAATGTTAAACAGCAGAAAAAAAAAAACAACAAAAATAAGTTAAAAAAAAAAAAACACTGCAAGCCATAGAAAACCAAGCAAAACACAAACTGTTTAACTATTTTACAATCTAGCAAAAACGAAATAACAACAACAACAACAACAAAAACAAATATATATATAAATATACATAAACATAACACATACATATATGCAAAAACTTAATGAAATACGTATATGGATAATTATATTAATATTATTAATAATAACAATAATAATAATGCAAATATATAATTAACGAATGTTCAGGTCAACAACTGCATTTAAAAACAAATTTGTTAGGCGTTAAAAATATGCTCCTTTTATATACAAAAAAAAAAAAAGAAGAAACAAAGAATAAGAAGATATATACATATATATACACATATACAAATATACATACATACAAGCATACATACCATACCACATACTACAAAAGACGTTTGCATGGACAAATGGAACCACAAATTAATGTACATTACATATTATTATTAAAAGAAAACACACACACACACATAAAAACCCAAAATAAAATAAAAGTATAAACAAATTTTAAATAAAGAGCGAAAAGCAGGGGAAATTTCTTAAGCACAGCCATATAAAACGCATACTTAACACAGATATAGACAAAACAAAAAAAATAATTAAAACAAATTTGATATGGAAATACATAAGAAATTGAAACTTTCTGCTGTGCAGACGCAAATAAACGAACAAATCAAATGAAGTACGCAAATTAAATAGAAATGCAAATAAACAAATGCATATAAACAAATTATGATTATAGACAAAACAAGTTAAACATTTACTGAAATGTGAACAAAGGCAAATATTTTGCATAAACATTCTAAAGCCCGATCGTTACCATATATAGTTCACACGTTGTATATAGTTATAAGAAAAATGCTCCCAACTTTGAATGTTCCACTCTACAACTATCTCTCTCTCTCTCTCTCTCTCTCTCGCTCGCTCTTGGTCTACCTGTTTCTGTCTCGCACACAAGAAGAAAAAAAAACATACACACAAAAACAATTGATACACGTAGCGAAAATCGACATTCCATTCAAAAAGAAAAACAAAAAAAAACATATATTTGCATATTCCTCAAGCTCTCTGTCATGCTCTGACCCGTTCAATCTCTGCCAAACAGTTAGTTGTCCCTGTTTCTCTCAGTGTAGTGTATTCACAAAGTTGGTTGTTGCACACATAAATTCGCTCAATATACAAAAGAATCAAATGATAAGCAAAAAAGAAGTTAACAAAACACCGAAAATTAGTTCATTCAGCATTTGGCAACAATTATGCAATCTATATATATATATATACACATATATATATATATATAAACAAACTTAACAGCCATTGTTACAGGCTGTTTACACTTGTATATAGGTACGTTTACCGTTTAATCTTTATAAGTAGCGACAACTGCAAAGGCAATTTAAATATATACACATATATATATATATATGTATATATATATTTATATATACGTACTATAAATATGTGTGTGGTTCATACATATACTCTATTTTTTTTTTTTTTTGTTAAAGTGCCGCAAAAAAAAGGAAAAATCAAAAAATAAAAAAAAAACATATTCAAGTAAATCTGTTTCAGAACGTAGCGTAGTGTAGTGTCGTCTACCCTGTAAGGCCAAAATAGTTTTTAGCACATCTAAGAAATTCAATATAGAAAATAACTAAAAAGAAAAAGAAAACGAAAGCTAACAAAATACCAAATAAAAAAAAAACAAGTGAGCATTAGCGAAATGCTCGGTTAGGCAGGTATTCACAATGCCTATAGCATTTAAATATGAAGCAAACGATAAATGATATAAACAATGATGATAATTATTATAATTATTAATAAATAAATTGCAATTGAACGTAAACAATGCAAAACGTATGCATAAACAGCGAGGATTAACAAAACAATATCCATAAGAAACGTTTAGCTATTTAACAACAAACTAGCGCACTTTTTCTTAATAAACAATTCGAATCGAGAGGGAAAAGCCGCCAAAAAAGAAAAAAATTTATAAAAAAATCAAAAAAAAAAAAAAGTGAAAAAAAAAATAATAAACATTATACGAGTAACCCATACTTACAGTAAGCGAGAAGCAAGACGAATTTTAGAGTGCGCCGTTTTTTAATTAAATTAAGATGTATTTTAATGATTGTTTTTTTTTTAAGGCGTTTTTTTTTCTCATTTTTTTTGACAGCTGCGAATATACGAAAAATACGATCTACACATGTACGTTTATTTATGTATGCTCCAAAACTCCTGTTAAACAACAATTTGAAAGCGTATTATATGAATTATTGTAATAACAATATAAGTCTGTACATTTGTTAACATTTCTAAGCTCGTAAGGTCTCGTAAGGCAAAACCCAGCGTACATCTATGTCGTCTATGTAGTAGTTGTAGTTAAACCAAATTACAATTATAAAACAGATCATATTAAAAAAAATATTAAAAAACAAAAATCTAAAACAAAATCATGTGAATTATACAGTAATGATTGATTGATTATGATAATTGTTGAAAGCAACTGCTTTAAAATCAAAAAATAAATACAAACAAATTAATGAACACAAACACAAAAAAAAAAAAAGAAAACATAAAAATTACAAAAATTAAAAAAACAAACAAATAATTATATAACAGTTGTGAACAAATTATATTTACATAGCGTATAAATAAATTGCATAACAATTGATTTCAAATAAAGCAAACGACTCGTTTTAAGCCGCCAATAAGTATCGATGCCAAACTATGCTCGGCTATCGATGAAATGTATAAGTACTTTCGCCAGCCCTGGCATCAGCTGTTTGTGGCGGCACGTCAATAAGTTATCGATACCTGCAGCTGCACATACTCCAATAAGCTAAGCACGAGACAATAACAAGCTAAAGAATTAGCAATAGAAAACGACAACAACGACAACTGAAAGCCAGGAACAATGCAAAAGCTACTCCGTGGCGTTGCATGTTGCCAACATGCCGCCAACAGCGGAGTGAACGTTAGCCAGTTGCATATACCACGTACGCAGCAGCTGGGCCGCCGCCTGCTGAGCACTGCGACTGGCCATGCAGCAGATGCGGCCGATGAGCAGGTGTTGAGCAAGCGAAAATTTCAGCCGCACGAAGCCGTCGATCCCAACGAGAAGCTGGCCGGTCAAGTGCCAGGACAGGCACGTGTCGTTATCTGTGGTGGTGGCATCACTGGCGCCTCGGTCGCCTACCATCTGGGCCTGCAGGGCTGGGGCGGCGAGACGCTGCTAATCGAACAAGACGGCGTTGGCGGCGAGCTGCCATGGAGTGCCTGCGGCCTGGCCGGTCGCTTTGAGCCCAGCTATACGGAACTGAAGCTATCGGAGTATTCAATTGATTTAATCAAGCAGCTAACGGAGCGAGGCTTGCCCACCGGCTGGCGGCAGGTGGGCAGCCTGAATCTGGCGCGCAGTTTTGATCGCATGACTTCCTTCCATCGCATGAAATCCCAGGCTGTCGCCTGGGGCATGAACTGTGAGATACTCACGCCGGAACAGTGTAAGCAGCACTGCTCACTGCTTTCGTTGGACGGCATCGAGGGTGGTCTCTGGATACCGGAGGATGGCGTCTGTGATCCGCACCTGGTCTGCCATGCATTCATCGAGGAGGCCCGTCGCCTGGGCGTGCGCATTGTGGAGCACTGCGCCGTCAAGAAGATACACAGCGATCACGGCAAGGTGGCGCGCGTCGAGACCACCGGCGGCGATGTGAACTGCGAGTACTTTGTCAATTGCACCGGCTTCTGGGCGCGCGAGGTGGGCACTTTGTCTAAGCCGGTGGTAAAGGTGCCGCTCAAGGCCGTGGAACATCACTATCTGCACACAAAGCCCATCGACCAGTTGGATCCGTATACGCCGTTCGTGCGCGACTTTGATGGGCGCATCTTCTTTCGCGAGTGCGAGGGCCACATCCTGGCTGGTGGCTATGAGCGCGAGGCGAAGATGGTATACGAGGACGGCGTCATACCGCTGTCCCAGAAGGCGCGCCAATATCCGCCCGACTGGGATCACTTTCATGAGCTGCTCGATGAGCTGTTGCAGCGTGTACCCTCATTCCGTGAGGCTTCGCTGGATCGGCTGACGAACTCGCTGCAGGTGTTCTCGCCCGATTGCAAATGGATATTGGGCGAGGCGCCCGAGATACAAAACTATTATGTGGC